GCCATGGCTTATGACCGGTACACAGCAATCTGCAACCCACTGCATTATACGGTTATTATGTCCAAGAAGGTTTGTTGCCAGCTTGCAATTGGAGCATTCTGGGGGGGTACTGTTAGTTCAATTATTCACACCACTAACACTTTCCATCTTTCATTCTGCTCCAAAGAAATTAACCATTTCTTTTGTGATATCTCGCCACTCTTCTCTCTATCCTGCACTGACACTTACATGCATGACATCATTCTGGTGGTTTTTGCTAGTTTGGTTGAAGGTACCTGTCTTTTAATGGTTCTCCTCTCTTATGTCAGCATTATAGCAGCTATTCTTAAAATAGGTTCTATGGAGGGAAGAAGAAAAGGATTCTCCACTTGTGCTTCCCATCTGATCGTGGTCACTATTTATCACGGTACCTTGATCTTCATTTATTTGCGCCCCAGCACGGATCATTCACTGGATACTGACAAAGTGACCTCTGTTTTCTATACATTAATTATACCTATGTTAAACCCTCTCATTTATAGTCTCAGGAACAAAGATGTCAAAAATGCCTTTAGGAAAATGATTGGCAAAAATTGCTTTCTTAAAATAGAACAAAACTGAGTCTGACAATCTTCACAATGTTATGATTTTAACTATTGGGAAAATCAATTTAATATGAATATTGATCAAATCTGCGAATAATGAACCCTCAACTACAGAATAAGACTAGAACCTAACCTTAGAGCTTGGGGTCTCTTACAGCACTTATATTATGTCTAGCTAATTTTATTTTAAAGTTGAAATTTTAAATATTTATTTCAGGTGCAGCTTTTAATTTTATTTTCTAAATGTCATATTCTTACTTCTTTTGTCTTTCCAGGATAAACTTTTGTCAAAATTACTTCCAATAATAACTAACCTTTGATACAACATAATTTCATTCTAATAAATAAGTGCATTTTACTGAGACTTTTCTTTTCTTTTTTGAGTTGGAGTCTCACTCTGTCACCCAGACTAGAGTGCAGTGGCTGCTCCCGGCCACCGCAGCCTTGACTTGCTGGGCTCTGACGATTCTTCTATCTCAGGCTTCCAAGTAACTGGAACTACAGGCACGCACTACCACGCCCGGCTAATTTTTTGATTTATTGTAGAGATGAGGTCTTGCCAAGTTGCTCGGGCGAGTCTCAAACCCGTGGGCTCAGGCAATCCACTCACCTTGGCCTCCCAAAGTGCGGGATTACAGGCTGAGCCACCGAGCCTGGCCTTACTGAGACTTTTCATCAATTAATTTCCCTAACATAAATTTTCATTGTGACTGAACTATGCAGATTCTACTCACTTTATGCAAATATTAACCCCTGCAAATTTTATTTTCGTAATCTCTCTTCAATTTCAGATGATAGCTGGTATTCAAAATATTTCTTGAATCTTGGATATGCTTTTAAGACTCTCATCATTTTTTATTATTGTGTATTCATTTGGATTCTATTCCTCTTCCAAAACTGATAATTATTTTTTTCCTTTTTTTATGTCTTGCCTTTTTATCACAGCATCTTTTCTAGTGTGGATCCTAAGTGAATTTTATGCAGTAAATATAAGTAAATTTAGTATAGGTTTTTTTTTAAGATTAGATTATATGCCTCCAATATTCAGAATCCATTTATTTCTCTTGCAGGATTTTTGGTTCATCCTTTGGAGTGGTGCTGTGTCCAAAATTGATTATTGCAAGATATTTTCAAGTATGATAGCTTTTTACAAAACAATCTTCAGATATTGACTACACTAAAATCTGGTTCATAATATATTTTCTCAGGAATATATTCAGTCTGAAATCCCTTATTGGTAAGAAAATAGCTACAACATATGAGGGAAGCTGTACTCTGAGAGCCAGGGATGGGAAGTGGAGCCCATGAATGGTGGGAGTGAAGTTAGTTGGCTTCTGGGTCATGACACAGAGAGAAGGCATGGTAGGAAACTGAAAGTACTGTGTTAAACACAAAGGTGAGATTGAATAGTGGGACAGAGGATAAACTAGAGAGAAAAGGTTTCTGAGAGTGAAAGTGCATGCTGGGTGGTAAATTTAGACCACAATTCCATTCACTGCAATGGATTTTATTTTTACAAGAAGGTTTTTGTCCATAAAGAGCAGTGGTGAGGTAAGGCTCTGATCAGTGTAAACTTTGAATAGCGAAGGCTGGCATGACATCCTGAGATTAATGAGAACTAAATACTTTGTCCTAAATACTGAGAAGTAAAAGTTCTAGATGCATAGGTTCATCACAATAATATATATTTGTTCTATTGTAGCTAAGTGTCCACTTCAGCCACAGCCCTTGAGACAGGATCTTACAAGATAACATAAAATGAGGTACTCTGAGACTAAATATCTCAACTCTCACATCTTGGGATTGTGGGTTCTGGGACTTAAATCAATAGTATAGTTTTGGCCATCTGATCCAAACACATTTACAGTCTCAGGAACAAGTAAAATGCCAGCATGAGGAGCTGTGGAGAAACCTCTACTCGGCTCCAACAAGGAGCTTTAGCTGAGGTCAGAAAAAATAAATCCTAAAGTGAGTGGGCAGTGAACTAAAATATGGCCTAATGTGAGAATCTGCAACCAGAACCTGACCAACTACATGAGCAGACTCTAGAAAGATAGACGAACGGTGGAGCCTGGAGACTTTGCTTCTTGGCATGTCATGAACAATAGCATCTTTTTTTTCAGCATTAGAAGGTTATACTGAGTGGCTCAGCATAATCTTAGAAACTATCTTGTCCAATATCAATCATAGACATATAGCTATAATCTTAGAATGTATATATTAAACCCATGTTAAGAGATGAGAAAACTGAGACCTAACAATGTTAAGTAAACTGACTAGTCACACAGCTAACAAGTCAATGATTTTATACAGATATGAATATGTCTGTCTCACTTCAGAGTCCAAAATCTTACCTTAAACTTTCTCCTATCTTTATCATGTTCTTAAAATGAAAATAAAACAAGTAAGCAAACAAATAAACAAAACCATGAAGACTTGATAATATGCAAAGATGATTAAATCAGTGTCTTTAAATAAAAAGGTAAAACAAGTAAGACATATTGTATCTTTTTTTCTTATGTATACATGTAAAAATGAGCAGGAAAAGCAATTTTACATAGCATTAATACAGTTACTTTGAGATATATGTGTATGTTATTGATAGATTTTAAGTAAAGTATATTGAACTGAGGAATGGTTTAGACAGTGATTGAGCTGTCCTGATAATACATATATTTTATAGGAGCAACAACTATGTTGCTTGAGATTATATAGGAAAATAATTATTTAAGAGATAGTAAAATAATCATTGTTTTAAAACTGTTCAATTAGTAATACAAGACAAATATCCTGCAAATTTTTTAATGTTTTTAATGAGTAATTTTATTTCTATAATACTTTGAAGCAAGTAACGCTCAGTGCATTGTACGACTAAAATGATAGATAAAATTATGGAAGAAAACCTAAATGCAAAACCTTGTATAAATCATTACTGTGTCTTCCCAGGAGCAGAGAAGTGTGCCCCCATATAGCTTTTATAACAACAACCTGAAATAAAATAAATGCTCTTGAGAACCTAAAGTCGTGTTATTTTTTTAATAACCAGATTATAATTGCTAAGTTATTGCCATGAGAATGACATATGCAATTAATTAAGTTACTAAAGCATATTATAAAATTACCTAACATCCAACCACTCAGAGATGACCACTATTAACATTTTGTTTAGAATAAGATTTCAGTTTATTTCACAGATACACAGATAAGCAATACATATTGTATATGAAATCATAATGTAAATACTACTTGTTATTTGTGTTTTTCCCTTACTGAACTTAGATTTATGTTGATAACACTCATTTTACTACTTTACAGATTACCACTATTCAATTAAATCAGATTTTTAATTTTTAACAATTCATTTAACATTCAGTATTAGCATAGTATAATGCTATGAACTCATTAGGTGAGACTGAAGTCCTTATCTAGTAGCCTTTGTAAAAGTCCAGATACTTCACCACTGACTTCCACTTGTGCAGTTTTTCATAGCACCATGCCTGCTCTTTGGAGTAAGAACAAAAGAAGACTCCACAGACTGATGCTGAGATGATAAGACACGATAAAAATCTGGAGCTTCTGATCCTTGGACCTATCTCCTGATAATATTGGGACAAGACTGATGAGGAAGAGAGGATTAAGGAAAAGATGTTTATCATATCAAATGACACTTGTCCTTGATGACATATTCCAAGTAATTAGGCCAAAAACAAGAGGTGCAGATGGATTTTTATCTAAAGTGAACATACTGCAATAAAATGAAGGAAAAAAGTTCTTCTTGTGGTAAATTTTCAAAGTTTCCTTTTTGCATCAGTTTTGGGAGACATTGATTTTTAAATGGCACCTTGGGACCAAACATTATAAATAACAAAGCAGAAAGAATGGTGAACAAAACAGGAAAGGACCTTTCCTTTATGGAACGTTGTGGTTAAGGCAAGAAATTTATTGCATATATTTATTTATTTACTATTTATTTACTTCTAAGTGTTATAATGAACATTTATAGGATGATACAAATACATAAGAAGGACACAAACCAGACTATGTTTGATTCTTAAAAACTCCCTTTGTTTGAGCAGCTATATTTATTAATCCCATTTTTTATTAAACTGGAAACTTGACGATGGTACGTTGAATTTTTGTGGGAATAGCATTTGCTTTAACCCATGACATCTCACTTAGACATACTCATGAAAAGAAAAAGGAGGAATAAAAGAACCTTCTCTGTAATAAAAGAAAATAAGCCAATTTCTACCCTCCGTGGTTTAGAGGGAATACTAAGACTAATAATTCCTGCTCCCTATACACAATTTCGGCACAATGGTGAGTAATTAAAAATGCCTTGGATGTTGTAAAACCTATGTCAAAGTGTATGAACTTTGTCTCAGAACTCAATATTCTTAAATGGAAATCACGGTTTCATCTAGAACATAATTTAGTGCTTATTGCTTTTTTCAAGGCACCCTTCACATCATTATTCCTTAAGCTGTAGATCAGTGGATTTAACACAGGTATGACAAGTGTGTAGAACACAGAGGCCATTTTGTCTGTGTCCATTGAGTAACTTGAAGTGGGTCGGAAATACATGAACAGGAGTGTGCCATGAAATACGGCCACAGCTATCAAGTGAGAAGCACAGGTAGAGAAGGCTTTGCGTCTGCCCTCGGCTGAGTTCATCCTAAGAATGGTAACTATGATGTAGCTGTAGGAAAGGAGAACAGTGACGATGCTGCATCCCACAACACAGCCAATGAAAGTGAACATCACTATTTCATTGATGGAGGTATCTGAGCAAGAGAGGGCTAGCAAGGGTGGGATATCACAGAAAAAGTGATTGATGACATTAGAATTGCAGAATGACAATCTAAATGTACAGGATGTGTGAACTGCAGAATCCACTAAGCCTACAACATAGACAATAACCACTAGCTTGGTACAGATTTTCCTGGACATGACGATTGTATAAAGGAGTGGATTGCAAATGGCAATGTAACGATCATAAGCCATGACAGACAACATGAGACATTCCACATCTGCAAAGGCCCCAAAAAGATACATCTGAATGGCACATAAATTATATGGAATCCTCTTTTTCTCAGATAAGAAATCACTCAACATTTTTGGAGAGACAGTAGAAGAGTAGCAGACGTCACAGAAAGACAGATTACTCAGAAAATAATACATGGGTGTGTGAAGTCTGGGGTCCATCTTTATCAGCAGAATCATCCCTAGATTGGCAATCACAGTTATTCCATAAACCAGGAGGAATAACACAAAGAGTCCCTGCTGCACATCCTGTCTGCCAGAAAGTCCTAAGAATATAAAGTCAGTAAATACGGTGCTGTTCTCAACAGTCATTATTCAGATCTGGAATCCCTGGATTTGAAAGAAAAGAATGGAAGTGGAGGGTCACCATCATCTTACTGTGTGACTAGTCAGACTGATGATTCTTTTCCAGTAATTAGAAAATGAGTTTTTTAAAATGTTAGGAATGTTCAAAGCAAACTGAATATACTGTAATAAATGCAATTTAATGTAAAACAACAAAATAATATCTTACATTTGTATAACTGTGCAAAAGTTGCAGCACATGTTTATCCAAATTAAATCATCCTATTTTCATGCACATTTATGTATTATTTATGATAATTTTTGCTACTTCTATCTTATAATTAAGAATTGATGTTCTCAGAGTTCAAGGTAATAATTCTTACAATTAATTCATCCATATAACCCATATCTTGTGACCAGATTGTTGCCGCAGTTTTCTATTTTGTAGAAATGTTATTGCAGGCTGTAATAGAGAAGCACAGTAAAGTGAGAACTGTGGTTAGTGAGTATGTCCCATTATTTTACTCTCATCATCTGAAGTGTGGAGTGGGCAGAGTAATGACAGGTTTTTACACATAATATTCCTTCACTTTACCATTAGCCCCTCAGGTTCTACTCAGCATCAGCAAACAAGCTTGCATCCCATTGTGACAGGGATGGAGATTTTCTGTGGTTCACAAACCACTGGAGTAGTAAGAATTGTTTTGCTGGAGAAGCAAGCAGAAGGGCCTCCATGAGTACTATGCTACAGGGTACAGACAGGAATATGCCAAAGCTAATTGCAATCCCCTCTGAAAACTGCTGTTGCTCAATAGAAATTATAAAGAACAGTTTGAACCTAATTGAAAAGATGCTGATAACACAAGTGACAGAGGTGCAAGAAAGAGACTATGTCTTACTATATAAGTCCATCTACCTGATTAACTAGAATCCAGACGATCTATTCAGCAACAGATCAGATGTATAAGACACATGGCAAAAAATAGTCACATGTCTAAAGTCCTATAAGCTTAGAGAGATTAATTTCTTAACTGGATTCCTATTCTAACTCTCCAGAAGTTACAATTTTTAAATTGTTTTATTTGATCATTATTTCTTTTGTATATGTCTGAAATGTGCTGGCATTTAGCTAAATAGAGTGAGTGGTCTTTAGGAAGCTAATTGAATTATAGGTCTCATTGTTATATTTTACTCAAATCAATTATATACTCTATAATATCATACATGCCCCCCTCTTTTCTGTGAAAGTATTAGAAAAGTGAAGTTGAAGAACAAAAAAAAAGGAAGACATTGGAATAATGTTATAGTGATCAGAGTGTAGTATTCAAAACTTTGGTGTAAGTTTATTTAGATATCTATCCCTTTAGATGTATCTTTGAAAATAAAAATTTTCTTTATAGTATAACTTTTAATACATACATTATATATGAGTGGAGGTAAAAAATTAACAATTGTAAGTATGTCTGACCACCTCTATAATCCATGCTAGCATTCTATTGTATTCTCTGCTATCTATTTAAATGTTTATTTAAAATAATAAATACATAGGGTAAAGAAATTGAAAATGTTCACATTAAAGCTGGGCATGATGGCTCACATGTATAATCCCAGAATTTGGGGGGCCAAGGTGAGAAGATTGCCTGAGTCCATGGATTTGAGACCAGCCCGAGCGTCTTGGTGAGACTTGATCTCTACAATAAATCAAAAAATTAATCAGGCATTGTGTTGTGCACCTGTAGTTCCAGCTACTTGGAAGACTGAGGTGAAAGGATCACCTGAGCCCAGCAGGTAGAGGCTGCAGTGACTGTGATCATGCCACTGAACTCCCGCCAGGGTGATAGAGTGAGACTCTAACTAAAAAAAAAAAGCTAGGGGACAGAGGGTCATACCTCATCAACAAGGGTACCTGCACAATCAGCGTTTGTATATCTAACCCTGAATTGTACCCCACATCTTTACAATTTAAATAAATAAATAAATAAATAAGAAAATGTTCACATTGTTTTATAGTCTCTTTTAGTTTTATAAGATGGCAAATAAATATGCAAAACAAATTAGAACGATAACAAAAAATATTAGTACCTCATTCAGAACTACTGACTCTTTTATTGGATGCGGCTCTATCTGTACAAGAGTTCAGCATTGTCTCCTGATTGACCTAGATTATATAACTAGCTGTGTCTTTTCCCATGGTATTGAATACGTAGTCTCTCAGGAATAAGTGACTGATACAATAACATGACTTAACCTCTGATATTTCATACAGATAGGAATATTAATAAATACAATATACAGACCTTTAAATACAATTTCTATTGTTTCTAGCTAGTTTAATGCTCAATTTTATACCTAATTGACAATAGTAAAATGATTCCAGTCAACCAGTATTTCTAATTTACAGTTCGCCAATCTCTATGGTAACATTTCGCTTTAATTGCATACTGTCCAAAACAAATCTCTACCTATCCTCACACACTTAGACTTACATACACAGACACTTTTCCAAAGACACATTCACAAAATAAAGATGTTTGTAAAGATTGTAAAAACTAACAATAATACACTGCCTATGGATAAATGGACTTTGATGTCTATGCTGTTGGATGTTTAATTTTTAAACAAACATAATGTCAGAATAAACACACTTTCTATATAAATAAAGAATATGATTAAAGACAATGTGCTCATTTCTATTTATGCATAGTAATTTATTTAATGTATTCTCAGTTAATGGTCATTTAGTTCATATACAGTTTTTCATATAACACAAATATGGTATGAGTAGAATTGTACATACATAAATTTATCATATCCAGGTGTTTGATTAAATTTCATTCTAAGAATGGCATTTAATGCAGGAGATCTGAACTTAAAGACAATTTTGGACTTCTTACCATGGTCAGGTGTTTGATATCATCTAATGACAACTACAGAATGTTATGTAATTCATATATTATCACATATATCCTTCATTGTCTCAAACAACCTCACTATGTAATGCAGAATCTGAAATCCAGAGCTGGAGTGTTATAGACATTAAGTTTCATTGGATCAATAGAAATTACTCACAGTAGATTACTGAATAAAGTGCAATTAAACATATCTTAAAATGAAATTCTCATAAATACTACCATAGAATGTTATAGTGTGTTTATGTTAAAGTGATGCTTGAAAATTTACAAAATTAGTGACCTATGTACTCCTCAGAGAACATTGAATCTCATTCTTCAACTAGGGCAGGATTCCAACAGTGAGTGAGGATAGAAGGAAGCAAATAAGAAGATTCACCCCACTGGAAGGTAATCTACTTTATTTATAGTAACTAGACACTTGAACATTATCAATATTGGTGTTAATAGAAAGTAATATAGAAGGCCATTTTATTTCAAATTTGCAGGAAAAAGTCAGAAAATTAAAAAGGCAATGTCGCTTGATGTTTTGCATACTGATAGTATTGGAGTGTATTATGTGTATTGGCTGCCTTTTGTGTGATATTTTAAAATGTGAGAATTGTTACCATGTACTATATGACCTTTAAATGTCTGCTGTTGATTGCTATTTGAAGAAAATGTACAAAAGTCATGTACATCATGTATATCTTGAGTCTTATTGTAAAGATTAATTTAATTGCCACAAATCCTGTATATGCAAAATTTGTGCAAAAACAGAACCAGTCAAATGTGCAAGACAAGTTGTAATTTATGCATTTCAATACTTCAGGTAGTTTCTGAAACTCCTACCCAGTTTGGACAGATTCATAGGTTTTATTGTTGTTGTTTGTCATGTGTGTTGTTATGGAGTTTTCTCTTTGCTTTGTATATATTTAGGATACTTGTCATGTAGAATTCAATTAAACTAATATATTCATAACTTTGGGGAAAGTGATTCGTAGTGACTATTTTTACCTTTTTATATTTCATTGCCTTTTTGTGTGTGATAATCCTAAAACTAAAACAGCAAATATACTCCTGTGGGAGATGTTGAGGCGAAGCTCAAACCACCTAAGTAATTACTAATGATTTTTCACTAAGTAAACACAAGAAAATGATATTTTTGTTTTACCCACGTGCTCTACTATCAATATCTACTTGTCCAATATATACTCAGAGATTATGGAGTTGCCCTTGAGCAATTTCTGATTCCTTTCCAAACTCACTCTCTCCTCAGATGTTTCCCTGTCTCTGGAGATGCCAGATTCAGCTATGCTCTGTTTAAGCAGAATCAACATTTTAAATTTATAAACATGACTTACCCTCTAAACCATGTTGGAGCCGTCTATCCTTCATTAATGCTAGAGCATGGGGAGCCATCTATTGCTAAAATATAGTAATTTAAATTATCTCTCAAAGAGATTTGTGCTTTAATAGATAATGGCCTTTTTTAATCATGAGAGAAAGAGATTTAAGGTAGAATTTGAAATGTCAAACAAACAAGTGAGAAAAATACAAAAACAAAAAAAATCTGTTATCTAAATAACTTTCCTGGTGTCACTGGTACCCCTAATATAATACCTCATAGGCAAGTGTTTACTTATAAAGCTCTCCCTTCAGAAAACAGTTTCCTGGCTCTGAGTCATGAGTCACTCACAAATGAGTTCAGTGCACAACACTGATACAAAGAAAAACCAGGTTCACCTACCTTGCTGAAAACAGAAGAAGTAGTGCCTGTGGATTGCTAGCATCTCTGTTCTATAAACAAGGCAACACATTTTTTGTATCATAAAAGATACTTGTATTTTGTTGATTTTTTTTTTTTTAGTTGAAGTCTCGCCCCATTTCCCAGGCTGGAGTGAAGTGGCACAATCATGGCCACCCCAGCGTCGACCTGCTGGACTCTGGCAATCCTTACACCTCGACTTCCAAGTAGCTGAAACTACAGGCAAGTGCTACCATGCATGGCTTATTTATTTATTTATTGTAGAGATGAGGTCTTGCCAAGGTGCCCGGATTGATCTCAGATCTGCGGACTCAGACAATCCACTCGCCTCAGCCTCTCAAAGTGCTGATATTACAGGCTGAGTCACCCAA